TTACAGTAAGTTGACCTTATAGAAACGACGACAATTTTTCCACTGTATTTTAAAATTAGAAAAACTATTCCAATCAACGAAGAGAATCCTCTTTTGGCCCAAGAGCCGTCGCCAGAAACAGACAGAATATCCTCTGGTTCTCCTCGTATCTTGTTTTCGAGTTGCTCTTCGGTGACGGCTTTATGYGACACTACGTTAAAAACAGTATTGACCGCGATTAGTATAAAGTCAACGATTCCATAATATGCAGAGATACTTAAACCTTTTCCGAGGTCCATAAGGTTGCAAAACATATTTTCCTAAACTTTCCTTTTAGTCTGTGCATAGAGTTTTCCTTTCCAAAAAAAAGAATATAGCGAAAAAAACTGAATACTAGTTTTGTTTTCCTACACCATTCTGAATAATATGCAGAGACATTTCCACTTAAACAACCGCTTATGGTTTGTCTCCTCTCTCTGTAATATCTCTGTGTTTGGGTCGCAAAATAATATACTTAGACTGCTCGGATCGTTCTAAAATTTTTGTATGATAATTCTACATATGTCTACTTTCGAAAAATGCAAAAAAAAAAAAATTAATTTTTTCAAAATTATAAACCAGAATGAACCCTTAACTGATCGTGTGAAATACACTCAAAATTAATAATTTTATTAGTTATTTATATTTATTTATATTCAATAATATTAGTTATTAATAAATAAATAATAAAGTTACTTAAGAATTTATTTGATATGAGAGTTACACTGAGATAGTAAAAATGTTTTACTACTACGCTTGACGCATATACACTAATAATAGCTGAAAACTGTAGAGGGAGTGAGAGAAGGCTTATTGTTTGAGAGAAATAGGAAACCATCTTCGTTGTCATCCTTACTCCGTGCTGTTTACTGGGTAAGAAGTGACACCAGTAGACACATGGAGGGGATAACTTACCAAGTGATAATAATTGATGTTATCGAGCGGAATAAAAAATGATAAAATTATTTAAATGACTATTTAAAACCAGGGGTTGGTGATAGAAGAGTGAAAATTAAGGGTTGTATGTATTTTTTAATGCCACATAATAAAAAAATAAAAAAAAAATTTTATTGTGGGGGTGTGGTGTGGTGATGGTTGGCGTGGTTTCAGACAGACAGAGAAATATATATATATATAAGATTTTATTGAATCAAAATAAAAGTTTATTATAATATAACAAAGACTTAAGTATTAAGGTTTAAGATAAAGACCGAAAAGAAAAAAAATCATGTGTGCAGATCACACGTATTAGAAGTGAGACCATAAAAAATTAAGTTTCTAGAGAATCAGACGAATACACAGTTTCAAGAATAAGATAATTGTAAGATTTATTTATTATAACGTTATTACCATATATAATAAAGGTCACCGGTATGATAAGTGAGTGGAATAGTCGATAAAAAGTACACTTTTCCAAATTTAAGGAATAAAAATGGAATGCTGAATGCAATAGTTATAACTAGTCACCAAAATGGTAGGATGTTTATCAAAGGAAATATAATTC